GGAAGTTGGGGTGGGACATATTGAAGGGTTTATCGCATTTTCTTTTAATGGTCACAGCCATGAACCATGATTTTCTGCTCATTAGTTGGTTGAATGTAGTTGGACATACATAGACAGTACAACCAACAATGTACAACCAATTAACAAGTCAGTCATGTACAGAGATTGTATTAGGGGGGCAGGGCTTTCACATTCTACAGCATTTGATTGGTTAACAGTCTGTGTAGTGCAAAATTGAGTCATCAATAATTTTGATCTGTTTTACCATGAGAGAAAATATCTGCACTAGAGGGAACCTTGGTGTGTTGTACCAATGCTATCATGTTGTTTGTGGTTGCCAGGACATTGCTATACAAATGCTAAGGTGTGGGCCAAGCTATGTGGTTGTAATACATTCTGGGTGAGTGTTAGGTCATAAAGTCAAGTTCTCCATAATCAGTGGTATATACTGAAATATAAAGAAATCTTCGCTAATCAGAGAAACAAAACCTGCAAATCACACCAAAATAACTTTTCACTGCCCAACTGCTCCAATGAAGCACTACGAATGTCATAATAGAGATTCCCTTTGCTCTCAAATGACTTAAGTGTTTGTATACATGGGCATTTTGTAACAAATGAAAAAATGTCTCCATCGTTGTTAAGTTGATAATGTCATTCACAGTACTTCATTGTACAGTGGATTGTAATTCTTTCCCTCATTAAAGCTGTCAAGTACATAGTCTTTTACCTTTGTCTTTTTTTCTGATTTTCAAAAGCTTTTTTGTTTCAAATCTAAGTTTGTAATGTTGTGATTCACCTCATAGCTGGTTGGTGTGGTTCATAGCTTATAATGGTTTAATAACAACTTTTTTTTTTAAATCCTTCAATACCTCAAGAACCAAAAAAGTGGGCAGACTGCACTCTTTTGCTACAGTATGTGGTTTCTGACTGGCTCGAGTCTGACTGGCTAGTCTCTAGATATGACTTAGTTTAGTGTAAATGTGAGAGATTTTCTTTTCATCCATTTTATTGTCTGTCAGTCGAAAATTTGGAATTGTATTTGTAATACCTACAGGTTTGTTGAAATCCCTGAATCAACAGTATGAACAACAATGAGGAACTATACCCTTAGTAAGCACTAGTAATGATTGTGTAGAACTGTTTAACTGCTTAATGCAGCTGGTGGGTTAATCGTCATATTGTGTTTTTATTGTATTTATTCATCTATTTTACAAGGCTTAAGCACACTACTCCATTATTATAAATTCTGCTCCATTGCATTTTGATTGAACAATGCCCTTTAGTGCCTTTGTGGGTTTGCATGTATTTGCATGCGTGTGAGTGTGCACAACTGTTTGTGTTTATGTTGCGCTATAAAGGTGACCTGACACCAGGTTCATCCTCTCCCTACTGCTATAATTTTCTCTCTTTCATGAATCAGAATAAATTATTGACATTTCTTTAATGAAGCCGCTGGTGGTTTGGTGTTTAGCATAGTCTATCACCCTCCTACACACACACACACTCATGATTCCTGACTATTAGCTTCTACAGAGTTTTACAGAGCACTAAGTACAGTGCAAATACCATAGTACCTTACTACTCATACACTGCTTTGGAGTTTGGATAATGTGCACAGTATAATTGTCTTTATGCGTGGAATACCTAAACCTACTACCTAATACTGCGTGTGTGCGTGCGTACGTGCGTGCGTGCGTGCGTGTGTGTGTTAAAATTAAAAATTAAAATGACATTTTACTGTATGATTTTTAAATGTCTTTGAAATAAGTTCCTTATACTCACAAAGACGTCATTTATTTTATCAAAAATATAGTAAATCAGAAATATTGTGAAATATTATTACAGTTTATTTAGAAATCATTCTAATATGCTGATTTGGTGCTGAAGAAACATTTGTTGTTGTTATTTTGTAATATTCTACATTTCTTTACTGTCACTTTTGATCAATTTAATGCATTTTTGATAAATAAAAGTATTAATAAATTAAAATATATATACCTTTGAATTGTAGTGTGTGTGTGCGTGCGTGTGCGTGCGTGTGTGTGTGTGTGTGTGTGTGTGTGTGTGTGTGTGTGTGTGTGTGTGTGTGTGTGTGTGTCTCAGTAAAACCAATCACTAACTGTTTCCAGGATTATATATGGCATGTCTTCTACAAAGCTGCTTTTAGAAACCTACGGGTATGAACGGTCAAATACACTTCAAAATTCAGTCAAAACTACTCAAATTCCCTAGTAAAAAATGTAGTTTCTTAGCGTAATGTTAGTCGTTCTCTGTCTTGTATGGAGGACGCATCACAGTCTGTCACTTCTCCTCCTGCTTGAATTCAAACAGACTGCAGACAGCTTCCAACAGTGAGAGGTTAAGACACTCGCGACCCTGTTATGTTACTCTTCCTGTCTCTCTGCTGTTTACTTTCATTTGAGAGCGTGTTTTCAGAAGTTGCCCAGATATTTATGTCATTAATCACTGCCTGTAAGACACAACGCCGCAGGTGGAGGCGTTAAGCAAAGGGCCCGTAGGCTTGCGAATTCTCTGGCGTGCGGCGTGCGATCTGTGATCTGAAACTATGGAGGTGTTTGAGACAGAATTAGATCAAAGTGGGCCTCGTGTAAGGATTACAGAGGCGAGAAAATGCAGCAGGCATAATATTGACAATGCTAACAGAGAAGTGAGGAGAAACAAGCTGATGTGGTAGGCAACAAGCCTTTCTTTCTTGATTTTAAGAGCATTGGACTGTGAGCTATATATGTAGTGCTATTGATCGTATGTGGAGATGTGAAATTCACTGTTGTAGTTTTCTCCTGAAATGTTGAATAATTTCAGCAAAATCTTCTTTTGGCATGTAGTACCTCAGCGTTTTCTGATGCATTCTTATTTTGGGTTTGAGGTTTAGGCAGTATGTTTGGCGAAATTTTATTATCAAGAAAATGGTTTTATTTATTAGTAAGTCAACATTAAATCAAAATTGATTCTTACACATTTCTGGTTTTATTGTGGATAATTCTTGTGCATGTTATTCCAAAGACAAAAATGTTTGTCTTTGTAATCTTTCATCAAAACATACAAATTATTGAAAAAATCAATAATGGTTTTTTTTTTTTTTTTTTTTGCAAAAGTGTGTGAAAAATTGTGACCAGTGGCATAATGTGTATACTGAATTAACATATTTCTGCAGTCATAACATTTTTTATACATCTTAGCCCAGCTATTTTAAACTGTTTGATCACATTCTAGGGTTACTATTATGCATTAAAAAAACCTTATAAGACACTGTTAAGAATACTGAGATAAAAGACAAAAAAAAAAATACAACCATCAACATATTTCAAAATTGTTACTTTATTGTAAAATATGTAATCAAATTTTTTATATTAGTGCTACCAGTAGTACAACATCAATATTGTAACTTATTTGTAACATTTGAACTTTTAATTTAGTGCAATGTTTTGTCATTGCTACATTTTAGTGCATCTTTCACTAACAACTGCAATTGGATTTATATTGTATACCTAAATTCACTGTTATCCCACTATTGTGACCATCAACGTATTTACTCCTTCTATGACCACACTCAACAAAGCTAAATATATGTGAATTCATATATTAATACTAGGCACCTTAAAGATAATGTGGACCAAAAATCTTTGTCATATCTTTGTTACTTTATGTTACTTTATAACATATACTTTACTAGCCTTTAGCTTTGATGCAACCATTATCTTCTCATGGTGCAAACCGGAATTAAACTGCTCTGGTCGTGGGACAGTTTGCACTAATCATGTGACACTGCACATATTTAATTCATTTAATTCCTTTATTTTTTTTCCATATTTGCAGGAAATGCATTAAAACGTCAGTCAGTAAGCATCAGCTACCGCTATAGGCATTTCCTGGGTTTCTTCTGCGAGGTGTATTTGGAGTTTCAGCGCGAGAGCGCCCTCTGGCCTTGGGATGGAGATTTACTGCTGATCACAGAACCGTGCTTCACTGAAAGATACGCATGACAATCCCAGCTTCTGTCGAATCGCGATCTCGATTCCATTTCGATTTATCGTGCAGCCCTATCAGTAAGGTTTTTAGAGCTTTATAAATGAAAACCTTTTTTAGACCGGTGGGATTAAATGGGTTAATACTTTAGATAAATGATTACGATTTGGCAGACAAGCCTTTTTCAGCTATTAATAAGCAGGGAAGCCATTCATGAAAATATTAACTAAATAACAAAAATACCTATTTTTGCATAATCTTTTCTTCATTGTTATATCAGGACAGTTGTATCACCTTTTTGACTTTACTATATCAAAATACATTTGAAATCAGGAATAAAAATCATTATCATCATAGAAGAGTTGTAATCTAGTCATTTTATGTGTGAATTGAATTTTTAATTCACTATGACAACAGAATGATGGAGCGACTCTGGTTGAAGAAGTTCTTTTAAAATGTAAGAATTTCCAGTCCCTCTAAGTCTTTGTATTTAGCTGTTGTTTTATTATTTCCTCCTTTTCTAACTCTCTCAGGAACCCAGCGGGACTCTGTGTCGTTTCTCCATTGCTAAATCTACACCTTTTATTGACACAGTACTGATCACTATATGCCAACGAGAATATCGTTCATCTTTGTTGTCTTTTTGGAGCTTTTTTGTTGGATAAGGTATTGACAGTGGAGAATAACAGACGGCCTGTGCCAATTTAGACAGGCGTTGCGGTCCATGGAGAGTTGAGCACATTTATTAGCCTGATCTACTGCCAAAGATCCCATCAAAGTGATAAGAGGATGGACAGGGCCTAATGTTTGGAATGGAAACACGAGGAGACCGAACGCTCTCAGGAGATTACAGGATGAGATGGATTACGGACCATGAGATTATGAGATATCAGCTTTGATAATGGACTATGTGTGTTTCATCTGTGATAATGTAAGAATTACAGTCTGATTGGCTAAAGGTCTCCAACTAACAGGATTCTCACATTTCTGTCTCTCTCTTTCACACACAGATGCAGATCTTCATGTATAACTCAGACGACTTTGACAGTCTTAACACAGCCATACGGGAGAGGCGAGTAATTGCGGCCATGGCTGTCTTCTTTCAGGTGAGAACTCGCTCGTTTCGAAAGCGCCTTCATGTTCATTTTCAATCAGCTTTGTTAGTGCTAAGTGCTGGCATTAAAAAGCATTGATTTTGTAAGTAGGTTTTCTCTTGTCCCATTAAGTTCAGTGATACTGAAGCTTCACACTCGCAGAAAACTCACTGCCGCTGTTTTCTATATGGAAAAACACACACGTATTCACTCCCTTTCTGCGCTGTTCTTCTGTCAACCCCGCCGAGATAATTACAAAACAGCAATTTAAGACTCACGGTCTTTTACCAGGAATTGTGTGGGGGGGGGTTGTATACTCATTTCTCACATTTTGAGAAATTACACGTGTGTCAGTGCAGTCAGACTGTAACAATCCAGAGTTCAAAAGATTCATCAAACACTTCAAAAAACAATGACATGGAATATAAAGGGAGGGAGGGAGTGTGTGAATGAGTTAGGTTTTGCCTACAAAATGTCCCCACAAGGACAGTAAAGGACAGTAAAACATTCTTTGGGTGGTTTCAAGTATTTATGAGGAGAACGGCTTTAACATATTAAATATTGTTTTAAAGGTGCACTCATTTTTGTTTGATGCACTAGACAATATCGCAACCATCTTATATGACACCTATTGATGTGGACATAATAGCATCACACACACACAAAAATGTTTTCAGTTATAAGTAACATTAAATAGGTCTGTTTTGAGTAACTTATTGTAGACACGTTACAAGTTATATGGACTAGTTTTGCTTTGACAGCAAATATTTTCACCTGAAGCTGAATAACATATGTTAAAATAAATTAATATGTTTATTTAGCAAGGATGCATTAAAATGATCAAAATTACAGTAAATACATTTATAATGTTACAAAGATGTTGTATCTTTTTGTATCTTTGTGAGTGTATTTCAAATAAATTCTGTTCTTTTGAACTTTATTTATCAAAGAATCCTGAAACAAATCACAATATTAAGCAGAACTGTTTTCAACATTGATAATAATAAGAAATGTTTCTGTAATAACTGTAATATTTCTCAATATTTTTACTGTATTTTGATCAAATGAATGCACCCCGCAAAAAAACATACCAACTTCAAAAATTCACAGAGAAGCAAGAATGCATGCATATACAGGTGCATCTCAATAAATTAGAATGTCGTGGAAAAGTTCAGTCTGTGTGCATTGAATTTATTTAATACACGAGTTTCACAATTTGAGTTGAATTACTGAAATAAATGAACTTTTCCATGACATTCTAATTTATTGAGATACACCTGTATAGATGTTTGTTGTAGACTTTAAAACTTTAGCTTTTCACTGTTTTTCTTTAAAGAACAAATGTATTATCTGAGAAATTCTGCATCCATCACCACCAAAGGTCAGAAGACTAATCAATAAATGACATAACACGATTTCCGTTTGAAAGAGATGAGTCTAAATCTCATATTTCTCCCTCAGCCCTCACTCATCAGTCATATGCAGTTATCTGAGGATATCTTTGTAGCATGTGTCCCGCTCGATATCTCTTTTTATTTGGAGCTCACACCATTTTCTTTATTGCCCAACCATTTAGTCTATCTGTCCCTGATTAAAGAAGATAGCAGTCGTAACATCTGTCATGATACGTTCATAGGCTTATTTACAAGACACATGTCCACAAACTAAAGTGCAGCTGTTAGCTGCTAGCATGTAGCCAAAGATTTCTTTTAAAACACTTGAGACCACAGGCTTGTTGGTGGCCCAGGACACTATAAATCGTTTTTAGGTTGTATATAATTTATTGTTGGTTATTTTTTCAAGTTGTTGTCTTGTGGTGTTTTATAGCTTGCCGTTATTTGCGTTCCTCATTTACTTTTAATCAATTGCAGGGCTTTCTGTTTTTTTTTTTCTTTTTCTTTTTCTTTTTTTTTCTCTCTGGTACAGCTCACAGCTGCCGTATTGAAAACCTCACTCTGAGCTCAGTACAATAAATAAGCATTTTTATTTTCCATCTGCTAAAATGAGCTTTGAACTTTATTGATTTGCATGTGCTATTTTTACTCATGAGGTGAAACAGAGCTCTTAAACTGAGGTTAAAGCAGTTTGCTGCTATTTATTTTACCTCAGGGTTTGTTCTACAAGGAAGTCCAGGTGTTTGTGGGTTGTGGGTGACCTCTTGAATTCATGCTCATTTGTAGAAGTGCTTTCACTATTCCAGCCCATATGAATGCAATGTAGAACACAATGTGAGCTCTGTTAAAGGGATAGTTTACACAAAAATTATGTTTGCTGTTAATTTACTCACCCTCAGGTCACCCAAGAAGGAGGTGAGTTTTTTTTTTCTTTCTTCTTCTTCTTCAGTAGGATAGTAAACAAGATTTTTTTAGCTAAAACCATGGTCCTTGGTGATTCATAAAATGCAAGTCAGCGGCTACCGGAACTTGAGAGTAAAAAAAGCGCATATACAGGCAAGACAAAATTAATACATGTGGCTCCTGATGATATATTGAGGTCTTATGAAGCACAACAATTACCTGTATTACCTGTAACCCATATCCTCAGGCAAACGGTCCAGAGTGATGTCCGGTCTGTGAACAAATCATTCTTTTGAACCAGTTCTTTTTAGTGAACTGAATAAACCAGTTCACCAAATCGGGCCGAACCATCTGAAACAGTTCGCGACTTGAGTAGCACAGATCTGCAAGTTACTTAGTCAGAACTCAATTTTGGATGAACAGTCACTCTGGTTTGAAATGAGCAAAATTTCTGCGTATGTGATCCTACGACGCTGATTTTTGCAAACTCATTCAGCGCTCCAGTTCCTCCAAACAGTCACTGAACTGAGCAAACAGTTCAAACTCGGACTGAAGAACTGAAGAGCTGCTGATACGAGCGTGCATGGGACGAGCATTTGAATAAAGAGGCGAAATGAAAGTTTTTATGGAGTTGATTAAGACTAGTTTATTCACTTTATATGTTTTAGACATGTAAAACATCCACATTTCACATCATTATTGGTGATGTCATTGTATGATTATGTAAATCAGGGGTCACCAAACTCGGTCCTGCTCCAACCCTAATCAAACACACTAATCAAGGTCTTACTAGGTAAACATGAAACTTCCTTTTTTTCCCTGTGGAAGACAAAATAAGATTTTTTGAAGCGTGTTGGTCATTTTGCAATGGCGATGACTAAATTATGATAGCATTTTTTATTTAGGAGTGAATCATCCCTTTAAGTTCTCTCCATTGTCAGTCTGATGTTGTTGACCTGCAGAGAACTCACACTGTTTCTCTCTCTTCCTCCGGCCCGACACTTTTGGCCCCGTCATTTTTCACACACTCTGGCCTTAGCTTTCCTAAGGCGAGTCAGTCCTGCTACTAAAATAAGAAAAATATGCCAGTTGCAGATTGTGTGTTTTGTTCTCCACACAGTGCCATTCCAACCTCCTCTTGCTGCAAAGAAAAAACAAATCTTAGGACTGAGTTTTCAGCAGCAACACCTTAAGTATCTGTCTGTCATTGTCTGTCTGTCTGTCTGTCTGTCTGTCTGTCTGTCTGTCTGTCTGTCTATCTATCTATCTAT